GTTACCAGCTTTGCAGCTGGTCATAGCAGTAGTCAAAACATGAAGCAAATCAATGTGTGTGTGTGTCTGTTGATTAAGTGGTGTGTAGCTAAAAACATTCTCACAGACTTCTAGTAACATGTCGTGGCTTAAACATAAGAACATATTATGGCTAAGGCTACAGTTATACACGTCATAATAATAATATTAAACACCCTGTCTGCTGACAGTCATCAACTCTTCTCTCTAGTTATCCTTGACCAGATGTACCCTGTAGAAACTCATAAGCATGCCTAAGCATTTAACAGTCTAACTAGACATCCTATCTCCACTAGACATTTCTAATACATAAAGTATCTATCTAATTTCTATCTGACTAAAAATACCTAACACTGGAAAATAACAGACTGACAAACACACAACAGGCAAAACCTAAGCACATCACTGCATAGAAATTATACCTCCCAATTCTGCTCACTTCCAATGGGAAACCAGAAATGCTATTTGCCATATAGAAAACTGCATTGCATTCCCACTGAGTTTCTGAGTTTAATAGTTCAGAACACAGTGGGCTGTGTCACCATCTGCAGTGTGGTCTATAAGGATGCTATCCCATGTCATATTTGTTTTAGAGTATGAGTATGAGTGTTCAAGTGGCAGAGTCTGTATCCCCAACAAATGGCATGTTGTCCATGTGACATTAGCCTTCCCTTGGTCCAACTGTGACATGCATTTTAGTGTCACAGTAACAGAATCTAGCAATGTTTAAAAAGCCTTTATGTCACATACAGTATCATGAACGTATATATTCCATGTGAAACAGTTCAGATGAGAAGATTGAGTAGGAAAAGCCAGCCAGACAATGAGAAAAGAACAAGATAAAAGCAATCTAGGGAAAAAAATCCAGGTCATGAGATAGGATGTTGCTATGGTAACTTGTCTCACACTACTGTCAGCTCCCTCTAAACACTGCTTGATGAGTGACAGGAACTACTGTTTTGTTTTTTGTTGTTGTTTTTTTATGCCCTATGGCCCAGTGTGGTCTGATGTAGTAGGAGCCTATAGGCCATTTTCTGTATATAGGTGCATATATGTAATGTGTGCATGTGTCTTTTTTCTTCCAACTCATTTTGCTTTAGTAACATGTCTCTGCTCTGTCACCCAGTTTGCTTAAAGAAAGAAAAGGGGCGGGGGAATCAGTTTGAACTGTTCTTTGTTAATCACACATATCCTAAAATATTTCAGCACTCTTGTCAGATCTACTCACAGGGTTGAACTAGTTGTTAGAGGCCTTCCTGCGACCTCAGGATAGCTGGTTTAAAATCTGCAAAACTCTGTGTCCATCAAAAATGTATAGGTGAATTGTCTTTGAACATAACAGTAAACCATTTAGTGCCTTGTACATCACTCTGACTTAGCATCAGTAGAATGCCTGAAGGAAACAATTATTTTTCATGGGGAATGAGTCAAATGTGCACACATTTTCATAATTCTTGAGTAATTGCAGTAATTCTAATACCCAGCTCCCTCCAACATCCCCTACTCTATCTCTCCTGTTTGGCAACCATGCCACTTTGCCTTTCATCTGTTGTCAGGTCTCATTATCAGCTCCCTCCTATAAGCCCAAGTGCTACTTACTGTCCAACCTTTGTGTGATTACTCTTGACATGGTGAAAAAGGAACAGTTCTTAACCTCTTACCCAGGCCCTGTGGCCTATGTTCCCAATACTGGAGAGCCTTAACAGGCTTACATAAATTCTGGAACTCTGTGAAGCACAGGCTACTGCTGTGTTTCATTAACCTAGGGCTTAGGGGAAGGGGACTTGTTCTAAAGGTACACATGTGCTCTGTGTAAAAGCTTTTTCACACAGCTGGTTCACACATTTAGTGACCTTGGTTGGTGCTACCAGGGAGACTAATTGCCCCATTTCACAATGGCGCAAGGGAGTAAACATTGTGTTGCATTCTTTTTAGGGAGTCTCATGGGCAAAATGACAACAAACTGAGAGTAACGTTATGACACAGCCCTCAGATTGTATTTAAAGATTTCACTATAAATGACTTTGATAACAATGACAACCCTGACATTACAGCATATGCACACATAAAGACATAAAACAGCAATTAGCGATCATTAATGCTGGTGCAGTGCTGGTAAAGCTGGTCTTCTAGTACAGCTATGCTGGCCTACCAGCTAAACCAGCATTAGTCTAACGTGATTTCTATGCTGGTCTATGCTGGGGTTTTTTTTTTTCCGGAAAAGATGTAGCTAGCTAGTTACATTAGCTAGGTTAGGCTTTATTTATTCACTCAGGAAGTCTCAATGAGATCAAAATCTCTGTTATACACTGTATTAAAGTTATAATGCTACCACTGTAAACTAAGTGCCATACTGTGCAAAAGGAACAGCAGAAAGGTCAGCAGCACTAGTAAATGATGCTAGCTTACCAGTTTATATAAGATCCCTTAAATAAACTGTAATATTTCAAACTAAACCTTATCATTACATGATCCCAAAATGGCCATACTGTAACTCTAAACCTATGTAAAGGATAAAGCTGGTCTTTTTTTTTTTAAATAGTATTTTCAGCCAGCTAAACCCGACAGGAAATTGCCTCTACTCAGTCTGTCAGTCATGGATCAGCTTGTTCTTCTATGCCATAGATTTCCATTGTTATTCGAAAATGATTAAAAACAGATCAAGAAAACACATTGCTGCACTGGGTGACATGTTTTGTTTTGTTTTTTTTTTTTGGCTAGGGGAAGCTGGGTGGTAGCAAGTGGCACACAGTCAATGTGGTACTGTGTTGCCTAAATGTGTGTGTTCAGCTATGACTATGGATAAGAAGAGAGGACATGTTAACCAGGCCATAGCTTGTTATATTCTAAAACATAATATTCATCACAATCTCACAACATACATGAGATAATAAACCATAAACCATAAGTGAAATAAATACTAATTAATCCAAAAACCACAATAAGACGAATAACTAAATTCATAAAGTGCAAAAATATAATACATAATTGGCAATACACAATAATTAAACATCAAAACAATACAAACCCACATTAATACACTCACTCCTAACACTCTAATCCATGGCATATCTCCCCTCTCTCGTCTCTCTCTACATACACGCACACACAGCGGTCGGCAACATCAAACAAACATCGACGCCAAATGGCAGGTAAAACATCTACATGAACACTAGCATGGCGTGCACCCCAAACCTGAAATTGACTCTCTACATTAACTTAAGACAACTTGAACCTTCATACATGTCACAAAGCACTTCAGAACATTACAATGCCCGAAAAAAGCTTCAAATACACACTTACATACTGAACCATCCGGTACTGAACAACGATGAATTCACGATGAAAACAACACTAATTCAACAGCACCAAAAACACTCTTTAAACTAACAAGTACTTAAAATAATCACAGCATGTTCACAATACCTTCACGTCACTCTAGAGTGAGCTAGAACCTTGTTTGAGTTTAAAAAAAAGTCACTTTCATTGACATACCTGTGGATAAGGAGAGAGGACATGTTAACCAGGCCATAGCTTGTTTAATTCTAAAGCTTGCCTGCACTTAGTCTCTCCATTCTCCACAGTTGCGCCACAGCACCAACTATCAGTCCAGAGGTGTATAGTGTACACAAACTTCCTGAAAGACACAGTGATAAAACAAAAAAATATAGGGGGTGTCTGTTTAAATGTAAAACTTAAAATGTAGCATTTTTCAACCTACTACACTAACAAAATTATGGACCTGACCATGTTGCCCCAAAGTCTCTGAGCAGTAATTATTTCCTGCAGCATGAGTCAGAGTTAACTGCTCATGCGCAAGATCTTGCACAGTCTTTGCTTTGTTTACATCCCGCTACCTCTTAAAACTTGGGTCTGGAGTTTGCTAATGAAGAAATAGGCTGTGTCATCCAGTGCAGCTGTGTGTTTCACTAATGTGTTTTTAAACACAAACACTAATCATTTTTATTCACTTGGCCAGCTGTTTCACAGCAAGAAGCTCCCATGTTTAAATGTGCTGTTTTTACAGTGTGCACAAATATGTTATGCATTGATTTGTAGCACTCTTCTTGTCAAATTTTAAAAACTGTAATAAATGTGGCATAGATAGGAGGAAAAAACAGCCAGCTACAACCATAGTCACATACAATGCACTACAGTATGTGTGCAGGTTTTAGAGAAGCTAACTCTTTAGCATCTTGTAATGGAAAACAGTCAGTGGATGAACATGTGCAACGTTCATGAACTGCCTGCATATTCTGCCTCTGTCTTTGAATTTGACCATTATATCCATCCATCCATTTTCCTCCGCTTATCCGGGACCGGGTCGCGGGGGCAGCAGTCTAAGCAAAGATGCCCAGACTTCCCTCTCTCCAGACACTTCCTCCAGCTCCTCCGGGGGAAGGCCGAGGCGTTCCCAGGCCAGCCGAGATGTCCTGGGTCTTCCCCGGGGCCTCCTCCTGGTGGGACATGCCCGGAACACCTCCCTAGGATGGCGCCCAGGAGGCATCCAAAACAGATGCCCGAGCCACCTCAGCTTGGCCATTATATCATCACTATAAATCATATAGCCTGTTGTATATGTACCATATTATGTTTGAGGAAGGCCTTGTTTTGTGGAAGTGTGAGTTAGATTTGGAAAGTTTTCTTATGTTACACTGTGTTAAAATTATGTATCTCGGGAGGTATTTGTTGAATTTTAGTGTGATATTTTAAATAAACTTTTCTGGGTATCATGCTAAAAGGTTATTGGTAGCGTGGTGCAAACATTTCCCATCTCCTACACATCCTCCTCAAACCACATTTATGCAGAACCACTTTAAAGTCTCAGGTGATGGAGCAGACACATGCGGTGTACACAGTGTAGTGGGTATTGAAGTAGTTTCAAGCAAAATACTAAACACTGTGTATGGATGTCTTTGTCAGCTGTGTGTGTACTGTGTGAGTCAAAATCAGGCTGTTGGTAGACCCTCACTGTGTCTGTGATGGTAATAGTTTGCCAGAGCCTTGGGGGAGCTGCTCAGCAGGTGACGATGTGTGTATCTGTTTGTGTCTGTGCGT